ACACACACACACACACACACACAAAACATGACTTTTCGGGTGCGTACGTGTGCGTGCTTGCGTGTCGGATATCGGCGTTACCGTGGGAGCGAGCTGGTGACAGTGTGAACACCGCGGGGAGTAAAAGTTGATGAACCAGATCTCTCCGGAATTCACTGCCGCCTCTGAAAGTCACGCACAATCAGTTCAATCATCAAACGCAAATCTTAAGAGTCAATTACAGCTGCGCCTTACACTCATTACTTGCGTTGATTGTCTTTTTCAACGAAAGGGCAACCCCCCCCCCAAAAAACTTTTCTTTGACATCTCCGTATTCAGAAAGGGGGCGTCTCAAATCGAAAGTGCACAAAGTACACAAATGTCAAGTCTGCTTGCGGTTGGGTCCGTAACACCCGACTGAAAAAGATGTTCAGTTGAATTTGAATTCTTAAAATCTTTAAAAAATGAAACGGCAGTCAAAAGGTCTTGGCGGCGCCTGGCATTTTACGATCCCTTCAAATCTGCTTCAAATGCAATAAGTCTGCAAAAGCTAAGCGCTGCGACGACCGTGCGAGAACCTTCGACGCATCACCTTTGCCGATGGGTTTTTCCGCGCAACCCTCCATAGCCACGGGAATAGTTTCCACCCGTGCCGTCAGGCTTCTCTCTTACCAAAGTCGCCAGTGTCCAGCGTGATGATCTCAGAGTCGTCGTCGTAGATGCCTGGCCAAAAGATTTCACACGTGAGAAGGATCGTTTGGAGTCTGTCGGGCGAGCCGATCGAGACTCACCAAAGTCGTAGCGGTAGTAGTTCCAGCTCTCGTATCGGCCCCCTCCAGCCTGGTCCAGCCCCTTCTCGCCGTACTTGTCGTATTTCTTGCGCAGGTCCTCGTCTTTCAGGACCTCGTAGGCTCGGTTGACCTGCAGGAACTTGTCGTGGCTCGTCGCGTCTCCCTGCCGACATTTCAGAGAGCCCGATGTTTTCAAGCGAGCCCCCTCATCATGCCAGCGCCAAAGCGAGCAGACTACCGTGCACCTCTAAATGCCGGAGTAATCAATCGAAAGGCAGCCCCTTTTCTTTTCAAGTGAAATGAGGAACTTCATTTAGACAAAATGACTGCTATCATAGAAGCGATTGGCTTCAACTTCAACCTCTTGGTACCCAGCAACAATTAGTGGAGTGAATTGCGCAGCTTCAATGAGACTAAAGGGGTGCAATAAAACGGTATTGGCCGGCAACATCTCAAGTGACGGCTTGGTGTCGAGGCACTTATGTCCAAGTCAGTTGAGAACTTGATTTCACAAGATGTATTCTTTTGCTGACATTTTGTGGTATCTCGGTGTCAGGTCACTGTGTTGAAGTGAGCTTAGAACCATTCCTTTAGACCACGGGTGCCCAACGTTTATTAGCCAGCATGTTTTAGAAGTCTGCCTCCTCCAACACACCCGACTCCAATGATTGGGATGGTTATCAGGCTTCCGCAAAGCTTCCTGATGCTCTGATCAATTGAATCTGACGTGTTGGAGGAGGGACACATCGAAAACGGGCAGGATCTCGGGGCTCCTGTGGACGGGACTTTGGCACCCCTGAACGAGACAACTACAGTGCTTGGCCACCATCTTGTGGCAACATGATGTCAACTATTTTGAGGAGAGTTTGGGAACGTCATTTAGACACCAGTTGTTTTTTTTTTGGGAGGGGGGGTGCGTGTATCTCACGGGGTTCTTGTCGGGGTGCATGGTGAGAGCCAGTTTCTTGAAGGCTTGTCGGATCTGGCGGGTGGTGGCGTCCCTGCCCACCCCCAGCAGCTCGTAGTAGTCCCGGCCCGCCGCTCCCCCCACCGAGTCCGGCGACAGGGCGGCGCAGAGGAGCAGCAGCAGCAGCAACGCTCCAAGGGCGCCGACGGGTGTTCTCGGAGCCCGCGTCCCCTGTCCGGCCATTGAGCACGCTGGAGCGAGACAACTGCGCTGCGACACAAAGACCAGATCGGGGTGAGTGCGCCTTTGCAAGCTGCGGACCATCCTCCTCATATGGCTTCGCCAAAAAGGCAACGCAGCAGCAAGCGCACCGAGTTCGTTGAGAGCCGACACTTTATTGCCGACGCGTACGTCATTTGCCTTTGATGACACAGGTGAACTTTTTCACGGAGCAGTTTTCAATGCGGAATAGAAGAACGTACTGAAAGCCTATTTCCCGGCGACTAAGCGACAAGAAAAACGAAGAAACACCAACTCACTAAACTTATCGGGGGCTACTTTGTTGGCTTTAAAATGAACAAGAGTCCCCAAAGTGGGCGAAGACCAAAGCACCTAATTGAGCTGACGTATTAGCTTCGCGGCCCCGTAGGGAAAGGACGTGTTCTTGTAATTCACCGGCGAGACTTTTGACACCAATTCACCGAATGTGTAGGCATGATTACCGAAGTTGGAGGTTTATCGCTGCTGAGGTGTCCCAACCTCAAAAAGTGAAAAAGTCGCCCGGGAAGCTGCGAAGAATTAAGGATTTTACCGGACATCCGGATCTTGCCGGTATCAAGTTTAGTGACCACGCGCTTCACTTTCCGTTCAATGAGTTTCAGAATAAAAGCTAAGAGTTTCCCAAGAGCATAGATAACCAGCAGATCAACAAATAAGCGTGTCACTTTTTTATTTTAATTTGCTAAGAAACGCTTACCTTCTGGCTTCCGACTCTCATTTCTAAGTGGTTTTTATTTGTTGCACTTTATTTCGTCCACTCAACGAAAAACTGACGTTTTTCCGGTGACGTTCGTCTCAAGTTTGATGCGTTCTTGTGCATTACGGAAAAAAAATCCCCACATATTTTGACAAACCGATAGGACCAAATGTTTTGATCGCATTCCAATATTTGGGAATCGTTTTAAATTGAAAAGTAAGACAATTATGTATTCAATAAGATTTGTTTCAGAATGTTGAATCATTGTTATTGAGCCTGTGGGGTGAAGGCTGGAGCGCATTGGGTCCTTGAACACATCTTTTCAAATGGCAATTTCTTCCGGGTGCGTGCGGGCAGGCAAAAATCACTACTCACCGCGCCAGACCGACGCACTCTCCGAACTCCCACACATTTGGGCTCGTTACAGTTTGGATTGAGACCACTTTGTACGAAACATTTGGGTGACATCGATCCGGCCCCGAAAGGCTCGTCACCTCCAGCGCTTTGACACGTTTTAGCGTGCCTCTAGCCGCGTTCGCGAGGCGTTCGCTTGACGTCACTTCCGCCATTTGAAATCCCCGGCCCAAAAACAACGCAAAGTTTACCAAAGCGCCATGGAGCTCCAAGGTAAGTCCACCGTGAGCATAACTGAACCCTTTTCGCACTGATCCTTATCCTTATTTTTCCTAGCGGTAGTTGGTTAGCTTCAAGGAGACATTATGCAGTTTTTTCACAATTTGAAAGAGTTCCCAGGCGTCTTAGTAACATCTCTCTGGGACGCTTTCATCAAAGTACCCCAAGGATCAAGAATCGCAGACATAGTTTCGCAGCATAGAAGCTCTATCATGTCAAAGCCACAAGGTAAGCAGAGCTGCAGCAGTG